TGGAACGAGCGATGGCTCCTGTATTTTCTTGAGGAAATTTGATCCAAAGAGTAGAAGGCTTTCTCGTTGAGCCGATGAAATTTACTTCCATAAGTTGACCAGTAGCTCCATTTACCAGACCATCACTGGTGTCAATGTTTACTGTTACCATGTATTTAGCTGTAGTTTTTAGTATTAGCTGATATGGTAAACCTTGAGTTTCAGAGACTTTAAACGTTTTAACAGATTCCTTGATCCGGTTCCTATTTTCGTCTGTTAAGCCAGTGGATTTGACAAAATCACATGCGACTGATACAACCTCTTCTGTAGGAATAGAATTCAGCTTCAATGTATTGTAAATATTTACTTCGTCATTAGAACAAAAGAGATGAATCGCTTCATCAGGTACGGCAGACGGAGATACAATACGTTCTCGTAAGAGACAAACATCATCATTTGTCATTTGCCCTGAAGCCATGTTATTTAAGGCAATAGCGAACGACTGATCTTCTCTTTGTCGCATAATCTCAGTAAGTTCAAAATATTTGAATTTATCCCACGTTGTAGTTCCATATATTTCAGCATATGGATCAGTCGTTGGTGCTGCAAATATCCAACGATCGCCAACGGGTGACAGCTGTTTTAAGTCTCCAAGTACAAGAACGGATACACCGCCGAAATATTCAGTGCTTTTGAAAATTTGTTTCATTCTTGCATCAAGATATGAAAGCATTTTTGCTCCCACCATCGATATTTCGTCAATTATCAATAATTTTAAATTCATAAGTTTAGTATACATTGAATTTAAAGCATCAGGACCTAATGGTCTCAACTCAGAGCTTGACTGATTGACGGGAAGAGAAAATACTGAATGTAATGTGGCACCGCCAATACCAAAAGCTGCTTTTCCTGTAGGTGCTGTTAAAAGCACTTTAATTGAAGTTGGGTCAGACCCTGGTATACTATTCAGCCTTCTATTTACTGTTTGATAAATAGCTGATATTAGTCTACTTTTTCCGACGCCAGCACCTCCACTAACAAATTCATAAAATACGGATGAACATTTTATATTGTGGGAAAGATGTGTCAAGTAGAGCTTCTGTTTCGTATTTAATGTGCGAACCATATTCAGGAGATCCGACTCAGAAATCAAAGGAGGAAGTTTAATAATACGCAATGATGTTTCAGAAGTTTCAGCCGATGTACCATCACCCTCCGTATTTAATATATTAACGTTTGGATCTATTTCTGGTACTCCAAGAACTCTGAATTCATCATCAATATTACCTGCTTCTTCGTTGACATCTTCAATGCTGTCTTCATCTCGTAGACGCTGAAGAATATTTTCGAGTTCTCGATCCTCAAAGACATCGTATTTTTTTCGGTTGAACTCAATACTTTCTTTTAAAGCGATGCATGTGGCTTCGTTGTCGTTATGCAATAAATCAAGTTCCTCATTTCTCCAAGGATGGAACAGCATTACGAGTTCTCTAAAATAGTCGCTTCGGTGAGTATTTACATTATATCGCCGGTAACGAATAACATGAGGTTTAATTTTTTCCTGCACAAAGCCACTATTATCCTTTAACTTAAATATGCGTAAGATTTGCTCAGCATTTTCTTCAGGATCTTGCTCTTCGTAATCTGCTTCCCTGTTATTGGATCTTCGAGATTTTGAATACTTATAATTTGCTGCGAAGTCTGCCAAGCATATATGCTCTAGTTCGTCTGGTCTTTGAACATAATGTTCCAAAATACCAACAGCATAAATGTCTGATGAATCTGGTGGCAAATTTTGTAGTTGTTCTCGAGGTCTCAACAGAAATACTCGCTCTTCTGGTCGACCAGTATTTATATAAACCTCGGCATTACTACTCTCTGAAAGCCGCATCCCTAAACAGCAATATGTGGCCTCTTGAGCTGATATTTCCGTACCAGAGATAAATTTATGGGCAATATGCTGTAGCTTTTGCTTTATGGAATGATTGCCAGCTCTAATTTCTTCAACAGCATCTCGAAGTATTCTGGATACACCACGATTGGATTTATTAATGTAGTTAATAATATAACTACAGCACGCATAAGGATCTAGGATATATTGAATATCCATATTTGCTCTGTGCAGTGACAATATTGTTGGATTGTATGCATTGACCATTTTATCTTCGAACCTTCTTTTTAGGAAAATTTTAGGTTTTTTTTAGCGACGATCTAAGAGCTAATAAATAGTTCTCATACGTTAGATTTATATTTTCATGTGACAAGAAATTTTCAAAATTGTTTAATTGAGAGATTTGTTCTGAATCCAAATTTGCATTTAACATGCTTTGAATTCTATCATAGCTCTCTTTTAATTCCTGAATATTTTCACAGTTTTCAGGAAGCGGCAATAAAATTTCTGTTGCTGGTAGCGGCGGATATGGCATACCATAACGACAAATCTTTTCACCACGATATTCTCTAGTACAAGAACGATTGTGGTTGTGACGCTGATAAGCAATATATTCTTGTAACTGTTCATCAGATCCATTAGTAGAAATATATTTATCTATGAAACTAATGACAGAAGCAAAAGAAGATGAATTAGTAAGGTCTATTTTAGGAGCATCCTTTAGCCAGTACATGCCATGTATGTGAGGTGATCCACGTTGTTGGAATTCCACTCTCCAATAGTATTTCTCCACAAAATGTTCATCGAAAATCCCATCATTCATTTTAAATAGAGAAAACAGTTGCCGGAAACGGAAATCGAAGTATCGGGAGCAGGTTATTGCATCACTACGAATCAATCGAGCTTTTTCTGAGAAGGACAAATTTGAAGCATCATCTTCAGAAATATCGATGTTGTCCACAGTTTTCGACAGGATAACTAAAAGCTCCAACCATTTAGTTTCGGCTGCAGATAAAGTTATGAAAAATGTCGGAAGGCCAAATTGTCTAATCATAGCAACGGCTTTCTTCTTTTCACCTTCCCAGTGAGCTGGTGACGTTCTTATACCTTTAAGAATACGATATCCGTCATCGTGTTGGATTAGACTATTCATATATGAATCATCCAATGCGTTTCTGGCAGTAACATTTCCAGATCGCGTGTGTTTCCTCAGAGCGATTGACATTGCACTTTTAATAGTTAAAAGCTCTAGCTTTTTGTAACTATAAAGTATTTTATCCACTCTACAGCATCGTCTGTCATAACGTCGGAGCTCGGAGCGCACAATTTTTGAATACGATTCCGCACAGGAACGTTTTTTGCCGCAATAGATAGATACAAATGCTAACTCTTCAGAATCAGCATCAATTATCATATCTATTGGTCGGCGTCCTTCACCTGGAGCCATTACAACTCGTTGGTGAGGTACATTTTCAACAGCTCTACACTCAAGCATTGTTTGTTGGCCACCTGGATTGAGATTTTCTATTGCATATTCATCGGTATGCGGAATATCATCCATAGTGGCTTCATTCGATACTTGGTTTTGGAAAATATTGTCAATTGCTTCCCGGTCTTCATGATTGGCCACAAAAGGCACGACCTGTGAAGAATTAAATCCTTCAAACCAACTTTCGTCAATTGAAATTCCATGTTTGATATACAACTCGGTGTTAATCAAATATCTGGCCGCATCAATTACCTTCGCTGGTCTTATTGTTTCAGTCATGTAATCATGCTGATATGCCATGCGTCGTTTAAGATGCAATTGAATCACCTGTGCTTGGTCAAAGTTCCTTGGAAGGGACGTTACTGTTTCACTAACAGATATCGGTACGTTAACTACTGCGCCACGAATAGCACTTTGCCTTTCGAAACCTAACGCAACGATTATCATGAAAGGTAATCGAGCTGTGACCAATCGTTCCTCTACCGACGTTAAGTCTTTTAGAGAACTCGGAATGTCTGGAAAATCTAAACCGTTTGATAGACATATATTCGGTTTTTTCCCATTCTTAATTGCTCGACTACAGGTTTTACAAAAAGTATATGAGCCATCAACGGAGGGAAACCTTTCAGATAAATAAAATACGTCATTAATAAAATTTAAATTTGACATACCTGATTTTTGCAATGATTCCACCTGGTGAGGAAACCATAAACCGCCACAGCATGTACATATCCTTGTAGGTCCTTGTTTTATAACTTCATTGTATCGCTGGAACTTCAGTTGATTTCGTCGTGTAATTAATCGCGCTGACTCCTCTTGCCTTTCTTCATAAGAAATACTATTTCTACGCCTTCTGCTTCGTTCCGCCTGTTGCGTGTTGACCCGAAATCAATCATGCGACTGATACAACCTCTTATGTAGGAATAGAATTCAGCTTCAATGTATTGGGGTTTAGATTTCTTTGTTGCTCCTCCTCATGAAATAGAGATGAATATTCGCTTCAAGAGATGAAGGTACGGCAGACGGAGATACAATACGTTCTCGTAAGAGACAAACATCATCATTTGCCATTTGCCCTGAACCATGTTATTTAAGGCAATTCAAAACGACTGATCTTCTCTTTGTCGCATAATCTCAGTAAGTTCAAAATATTTGAACTTATCCCACGTTGTAGTTCCATATATTTCAGCATATGGATCTCGTTGTCGTTGGTGCTGCATCCAACGATCCTCCAACGGGTGACAGCTGAACAGCATTTGAACGGATACACCGCCGAAATATTCAGTTCTTTTGAAAATTTGTTCATTCTTGCATCAAGTATGAAAGCTGCTCCCACCATCGATATTTCGTCAATTATCAATAATTTCAAATTCATAAGTTTAGTATACATTGAATTTAAAGCATCAGGACCTAATGGTCTCAACTCAGAGCTTGACTGATTGACGGGAAGAGAAAATACTGAATGTAATGTGGCAAAACTTGCTTCTTCGCCAATACCAAAAGCTGCTTCCCTGTCCTTTGTTGAAGTTGAAAATGCCCTGGTATACTATTCAGTCTTCTATTTACTGTTTGATAAATAGCTGATATTAGTTGCCAGCACCTCCATCATATAACAAATTCATAAAATACTCTCTGAACATTTTATATTGTGGGATGTGTCAAGTAGAGCTTCTGTTTCGTATTTAATGTGCTATAACCATATTCAGGAGATTCAGAAATCAAAGGAGGAAGTTTAATAATACGCAATGATGTTTCAGAAGTTTCAGCCGATGTACCATCACCCTCCGTATTTAATATATTAACGTTTGGATCTATTTCTGGTACTCCAAGAACTCTGAATTCATCATCAATATTACCTGCTTCTTCGTTGACATCTTCAATGCTGTCTTCATCTCGTAGACGCTGAAGAATATTTTCGAGTTCTCGATCCTCAAAGACATCGTATTTTTTTCGGTTGAACTCAATACTTTCTTTTAAAGCGATGCATGTGGCTTCGTTGTCGTTATGCAATAAATCAAGTTCCTCATTTCTCCAAGGATGGAACAGCATTACGAGTTCTCTAAAATAGTCGCTTCGGTGAGTATTTACATTATATCGCCGGTAACGAATAACATGAGGTTTAATTTTTTCCTGCACAAAGCCACTATTATCCTTTAACTTAAATATGCGTAAGATTTGCTCAGCATTTTCTTCAGGATCTTGCTCTTCGTAATCTGCTTCCCTGTTATTGGATCTTCGAGATTTTGAATACTTATAATTTGCTGCGAAGTCTGCCAAGCATATATGCTCTAGTTCGTCTGGTCTTTGAACATAATGTTCCAAAATACCAACAGCATAAATGTCTGATGAATCTGGTGGCAAATTTTGTAGTTGTTCTCGAGGTCTCAACAGAAATACTCGCTCTTCTGGTCGACCAGTATTTATATAAACCTCGGCATTACTACTCTCTGAAAGCCGCATCCCTAAACAGCAATATGTGGCCTCTTGAGCTGATATTTCCGTACCAGAGATAAATTTATGGGCAATATGCTGTAGCTTTTGCTTTATGGAATGATTGCCAGCTCTAATTTCTTCAACAGCATCTCGAAGTATTCTGGATACACCACGATTGGATTTATTAATGTAGTTAATAATATAACTACAGCACGCATAAGGATCTAGGATATATTGAATATCCATATTTGCTCTGTGCAGTGACAATATTGTTGGATTGTATGCATTGACCATTTTATCTTCGAACCTTCTTTTTAGGAAAATTTTAGGTTTTTTTTTAGCGACGATCTAAGAGCTAATAAATAGTTCTCATACGTTAGATTTATATTTTCATGTGACAAGAAATTTTCAAAATTGTTTAATTGAGAGATTTGTTCGGAATCCAAATTTGCATTTAACATGCTTTGAATTCTATCATAGCTCTCTTTTAATTCCTGAATATTTTCACAGTTTTCAGGAAGCGGCAATAAAATTTCTGTTGCTGGTAGCGGCGGATATGGCATACCATAACGACAAATCTTTTCACCACGATATTCTCTAGTACAAGAACGATTGTGGTTGTGACGCTGATAAGCAATATATTCTTGTAACTGTTCATCAGATCCATTAGTAGAAATATATTTATCTATGAAACTAATGACAGAAGCAAAAGAAGATGAATTAGTAAGGTCTATTTTAGGAGCATCCTTTAGCCAGTACATGCCATGTATGTGAGGTGATCCACGTTGTTGGAATTCCACTCTCCAATAGTATTTCTCCACAAAATGTTCATCGAAAATCCCATCATTCATTTTAAATAGAGAAAACAGTTGCCGGAAACGGAAATCGAAGTATCGGGAGCAGGTTATTGCATCACTACGAATCAATCGAGCTTTTTCTGAGAAGGACAAATTTGAAGCATCATCTTCAGAAATATCGATGTTGTCCACAGTTTTCGACAGGATAACTAAAAGCTCCAACCATTTAGTTTCGGCTGCAGATAAAGTTATGAAAAATGTCGGAAGGCCAAATTGTCTAATCATAGCAACGGCTTTCTTCTTTTCACCTTCCCAGTGAGCTGGTGACGTTCTTATACCTTTAAGAATACGATATCCGTCATCGTGTTGGATTAGACTATTCATATATGAATCATCCAATGCGTTTCTGGCAGTAACATTTAATAGTTAAAAGCTCTAGCTTTTTGTAACTATAAAGTATTTTATCCACTCTACAGCATCGTCTGTCATAACGTCGGATTCCGCACAGGAACGTTTTTTGCCGCAATAGATAGATACAAATGCTAACTCTTCAGAATCAGCATCAATTATCATATCTATTGGTCGGCGTCCTTCACCTGGAGCCATTACAACTCGTTGTGATTATTGTACATTTTAATCTGGTATTCAGTTTGTGTAAATATCATCCATAGTGGCTTAAATCGGATCACAAAAGGCACGACCTGTTTAAATCCTTCAAACCAATCAATTAAATTCCATGTTTGATATACAACTCGGTGTTAATCAAATATCTTGCCGCATCAATTACCTTCGCTGGTCTTATTGTTTCAGTCATGTAATCATGCTGATATGCCATCATATGCATCAGTATGCCTCTCAGCCATTCTAAATCATAAGAACTAGTTGTGTTAACAGCATCACGTTGCCTCTCAGCCGGAATTCTAAATTCGGAATCCTCTCTCATATGAGTATGTGCAGCAGCATCACGTTGCCTCTCAGCATTTCTAAATTGCTGACTTTGCCGACGTAGTCTCCTCCATTCTGCCCCGTATGACCGTCGAATAGGATTATTTTGCGTAGTCCTCAGCGAGTCTCGCTCTTCTTGCATTATATTCCTAATAACACGTCGGCGTGTGGCAGCACTCTGTTTCCGGGTTCTTGGCATTTTTAGTGTTCACCGTTTGAAATGTATATTAATACTGATTGCGTGAGTTGCGAATAACGTCATATAAATAATATCTAATGGAGAGTGCAACCAGGTAAATTTATACATACAGGTACCTTCGCCGATAATACCTTTTTATACTAGTATGTAAACAATAACAGATTAGCTATAATGGATTAGTTATAATCCTTTGCAGGTAGATAATATACCTGCACGGATATTCGCTAATCTGTTATTGTTATTTATTAATCTGGTATTCCCAATTTAAGAAAAGGTGTAAATAGATGTGGTAATCAACACCCACATGTTTCTACCTGTGTTGTTTACAACATTTATTACCACAGTAACTTTGGTATCATAAAAGTAATAAAAAGTAACGTGTTGCATTGGCATCCATTGTGAAACAATCATAAAACTGAAATTTGACATCATGTGCTAAATAAATGAGTTGTGCCAAATTTCATTCGATTGGGATCATAAATGCGACCTGTAACTTGTTTACAATTTTACATGGACGGAAAGACAGACGGACATAAAGCGACTCAGAAATTGATTGTATGCATATTCTTAAAGGAAACCATGCTTCTATCAGTTAGTTACAGACATATGCACAAAGACATTATACTCTGTACCACAGAGTGATGAGGGATATAATAACGTCATTATAGATTCAATTTGATACGTTTTGAAAAAATTTGTGTCAATCGGACAAAGATTAGGAGTTTGGTGCACCATTTACCTAAAATCGGACGCAAAAATATATGTGGGAGCTAACTCTAAATCAGAACCGATTTTCACGAAATTTAACACACATCATTCTAGACTTATATCAGTACGCTATGCCAAATTTCGTCCAAATCGAAAGATATACAGGGACTTTAGTACACCATTTACATTAAATCGGACGAAAATATATATGGGAGCTATATCTAAATCTGAACCGATTTTCACGAAACTTAACACACATCATTCTAGGCTCAATTCAGTACGTTATGCCAAATTTCCTGCAAATCGAAAGATATATAGCGACTTTGGTGCACCATTTACATGAAATCGGACCAAACTATATATGGGAGCTATATCTAAATCTGGACCGATCTTCACCAAACTTGGCAGGCATCATTCTACGCTCAATTCTGTACGTTATGCCAAATGTCGTGCAAATCGAAATATAAATAGGGACTTTGGTACACAATTTACATGAAATCGGACGAAACTATATATGGGAGCTATATCTAAATCTGGACCGATATTCTCGAAACTTGGCAGACATCACTCTAGGCTTAATTCAATACATTATGCCAAATTTCGTTCAAATCGAAAGAAATATAAAGACTTTGGGGCACCATTTACATGAAATCGGACGATACTATATAATGGGGATTTACCCAAAAGGGGGCGAATGTTAATAATTTTTGGTAGAAAGATTTGTTACCATATACGATGCGCTCAAGAACCCCAAAAATACCGAAAATTGGGGGTACCCTTATATGGGGGATATCCGAAAAAATTCACCTATATTTATAATTTTTTGTGGAGAGATTTGGTACCTATTAAGAACTCGAAATAGTAAATTACAGCCAATTCGGTGGAAAACTACGATCAAAACCCCCAAAATACTGAAAATTAGGAGGTTCCATTATATGGGGGCTACCAGAAAAAGTGGACCTATATTTATAATTTTTTGTGGGGACATTAAGTACCAAATAAGAACCCAATGTACCAAGAACCTCAAAATACCGAAAATTGGGGGGTACTGTTATATGGGAGCTATGTCTAAAAGTGGACCGATAAATCCCATCTTCGAACTTGACCTGCCTGCAGACAAAAGACAACCCTATGCAAAATTTCAGCACCCTCTTTCAATTCCTTTAGAAGTTAGCGTGATTACAACAGATGGACGGAGGTCGGACAGGGCTAGATTGTCTTAGAATTTTACCCTGATCCGAAAAAATTCACCTACATTTATAATTTTTTGTGGAGAGATTTGGTACCTATTAAGAACTCGAAATAGTAAATTACAGCCAATTCGGAGAAAACTACGATCAAAACCCCCAAAATACTGAAAATTAGGAGGTTCCATTATATGGGGGCTACCAGAAAAAGTGGACCTATATTTATAATTTTTTGTGGGGACATTAAGTACCAAATAAGAACCCAATGTACCAAGAACCTCAAAATACCGAAAATTGGGGGGTACTGTTATATGGAAGCTATGTCTAAACGTGGACCGATAAATCCCATCTTCGAACTTGACCTGCCTGCAGACAAAAGACAACCCTATGCAAAATTTCAGCACCCTCTTTCAATTCCTTTAGAAGATAGCGTGATTACAACAGATGGACGGAGGTCGGACAGGGCTAGATTGTCTTAGAATTTTACCCTGATCAAGAATATATATACTTTATAGGGTGTGAAATGAATATTTCGGTGAGTTACAATCGGAATGACAAAATTAATATACCCTCCATACTATGGTGGAGGGTATAAGAAGGGGGTTATATGGGGACTACCCCAAAAAGGGGGCGAATGTTAATAATTTTTGGTAGAGAAATTTGTTACTAAATTGCAGGAAATTCGGTTGAAAATGCGCTCAAGAACCTCCAAATACCGAAAATTGGGGGTACCCTTATATGGGAGCTATCCGAAAAAATGGACCTATATTCATAATTTTTGGTGGAGAGATTTGGAACCTATTAAGAACCCAATGTACCAAATTTCAGCGTATTCGGTTGAAAATGCGCTCAAGAACCCCAAAAATACCGAAAATTGGGGGTACCCTTATATGGGGGAAATCCGAAAAAATTCACCTACATTTATAATTTTTTGTGGAGAGATTTGGTACCTATTAAGAACTCGAAATAGTAAATTACAGCCAATTCGGTGGAAAACTACGATCAAAACCCCCAAAATACTGAAAATTAGGAGGTTCCATTATATGGGGGCTACCAGAAAAAGTGGACCTATATTTATAATTTTTTGTGGGGACATTAAGTACCAAATAAGAACCCAATGTACCAAGAACCTCAAAATACCGAAAATTGGGGGGTACTGTTATATGGAAGCTATGTCTAAACGTGGACCGATAAATCCCATCTTCGAACTTGACCTGCCTGCAGACAAAAGACAACCCTATGCAAAATTTCAGCACCCTCTTTCAATTCCTTTAGAAGATAGCGTGATTACAACAGATGGAC